CACCCGATTCAGGCTCAACAACGTTGTTCGATATTGTTGACAGCTATGAACAACGTGGGCAGCAAAACATTGTTCAGTCCTGTTGAGCAACGGGCTCAGTGTTTTTTGCCATGTAGTAGCCAATCAGGTTTTATTTACAAAGTTTCTTCCGTATCATATTATGAACTTTTGAATTTTGCAGTAGACGGTTTAATACTGTTACTGTATGTAAAAATTTCAGTTTGTTTGTGTCGGTTGCAATTTGCTGGAGCAAGTATCAACTGATCAATATTGCAATATTGTGTGACAATATTGCCTGCAACGGAACACCGGATTTGACTGTAATTATCTTTACAACAATTGTGATATTGATATTTGCTGTGGTGGTGTAATGTACTCAGGTGAATAAGATGCTTGTGTGATGTTAATCTGAGTGCATATCCACATCGGGCAGGCTTGAAAAATATGCCTGGCCACGGTGGGAATCGAACCAAGCCTGCCCGGTGTGGATATGCACTCAGAGTAACATCACACACAAGCAATTATGATATTGCCTTCTTAAATACACTGCGATTTGTTGCCCCTTCTTCGACATTTAGCGATTTAAACGTTCAATTGAAGCTGTCCTCTCTCTTGTCTGTTCATATTATAGTTTTCTGTGTGCGAAAAGTTTTCAACAACTTTACAACGGAAGAAAAATCGTTGAATCGTGAGAAAAATCTGTATTTTTGCTACAGATTTTTCTTCCGATTTTGCAAATTGCAAGGCGCTGACGCGAGTACTCATGACAGGTTATTTGTGTAAACATACCTTTACCTGTGTTTATCCTAAGGCCCACCCTGTAAACTTTCTGTGTGGGAGGAAACCGGCCGAGCAGCCAGAACTTTCGGCAGAGCGTTGACTGACTTTTCACATGAGTCGATCTATAGCGAAAATTAACCCTTTGAGTTGCATTGTGCTCTGATGCGCCCTACTTTATCACTTAATTGTTATTTTACTCTGTCTAATGCCAGATGATTTTACTTGTCAAAGGGAGAGCGCTGGCGCTTGATGGGTTAAACCCACAAATGCAGAGGTAAACGGCGCTTGCTCTGATGACCGTGCCACTGAAGACCTGAATACTGTAAGAATATTGGGTGCATGTCTTAATTGATTCATTCTTTGATAGGGACTGGCAAGTGAGAAGTGCTGCAAGTGAAAATTATTTCATAAATATCTGTGGTCGAGCACAAAACTGTGGCAAAGATACTTCAGTTTGCAAGAAAGGTGATAAAACTGGTTCTACGGCTAAAAACTATGGTGCAAGTGTTACCGGGAAACTACCGACGTTGCCGCATGGCAAAGGTTTTTCTATTACATTTAATGGTAATGAAAATTCCAAGCCTGAATGCGAGAATAAGAAGATTCAAACCACAATTCTTTTTCATTGTGATAAAATATTGGTATGTTGATTTTGATAAAACTTTTAGGGACCATTCATTATTTATGAGGGGGGGGGGGGCTGGGGGAGGATGGTGAGAAAGTGGGGGAACCTAAGATTTTTCCAGATGAAAAAAAAGATTTAAAGTGACAAGTTAAATTAAAATAAGACATTTTATAAAAATTTGTCTAGTAGTTTTTGCTTGTCCGCGAAAGTTTGAATGCCGATAATTTTAGAACTAGGCCTCTCTTCTCTGCAGAGGCTTTTGTTGGCTATGATTACGATGAGTAGTATTGAGATACATTTCACTACGCTTTACATGGCGGACCTTGGGACACGAGCGGAGCTGCTGGGAGAAGGAGCGTAAAGCCTCTGCGGAGGAGAGAGCCTTGTCACGTTCAATCCAATAAAAAAAAAATTAAAATCCTGACCCCCTCGAAGTTTAATTTAAGACCCTAAATTTTCTGTTCAAATGTATATTTTTAATGGAAGTGGACTTTCTGTGCTCCCAGGGAAACCACCTACAGTAACCAAGTACGCATTCAGATTGGCTTAGAGAAAAATTGTCAACAAATGCCCTGATTGGTCGAGAACGAAATTTTCCCTTGTTACACTCACAGTACATTGTTTCTGATAAAAGATTGCTGTTGGTGCTTTGAATATTAATATATAATAAATAACTAAGGGTGTGGTCATTATTTATGGGGAGGGGGTGTTGGTAAATGGGAGGGGGGGGCAAATGAAGTTTTACCCTTATAAAGAGGGGGT